TCCAAGTCTCCAACCGAGAAGTTTTCCTCACTCGGGAAATTAAGGGAACACTACCCCAACCTACATGCTCCACTCAGAAAGCTTCAACATACAAGCTTCAACAAAAGAAAATTCAAAGAACTTAGCGAAGAAGGTTTTGGTGTAATTTAACACAATACATTGAAATGAAGGAAAACTTATTTATTGATATTCCCGATAAACTACAAATATGTACATATACATGAGTAATAAACAAACAAGAGGGAGCCTTCACAAGGGTTGCTTAGGAGAAGTCTCAGCAGTCGGGTAGAGCCCCAGAAAGAAAAGGCACCGGAGGGGGATCTTTCGGAGCCTCAGTACTGGACAGAACCCTAGAAGGAGGAGGCATCAGAGGTTGATCATTTGGAGCTTCATTACGCGATACAGCCCCAGAAGACGAAGGCAATAAATGCCTCTGGAACAAACCCACAAATCTCTGATGATCAAGTAAAACCTGACCATCAGTTTCCTTCATTTGGTCAAGCTTCCTCTTCATGTTTGTAGCATAGTCATGTGCGAGCCGGTGCAACTGTTTTATTCTCATGCTTGAGCCCTCTAATCTCCTGTTTGAGACTCATCACCTCAGCCGCCAATGATTCAACTTGGCGGGGTTCGAGCAAATAGGCGTTGGGCCATATTAGACACAGAACCTGCACACTGAACACTGAGAGCCAGCGAATCCTTAACAGCTAACTCATCAGACCGTTTGGAAAGTAGTCTGTTATCTTTGGGCGTGAGAAGGTTCCTGGCCACCACCGCAGCAGTCATATCATTCTTCATCACGGAATCCCCAACGGTAAGAGGACCAGTAGGGGAGACGAAGGATGGGCGCCATATGTTGTCTGGAGAAGGCGGGGCTGCCTCTTCAACAAGGTTCAAGTCAAAACGACGGTCGGAGGGGCCAGACATTTTCAAAGGTGTTGAAGAGAGAAGAGGTTGGACAAATCAAGATCTTAGAAGGGCAAGAATGGAGCTTCTACTGGTGGAGATTCAAGTGTGCTTCGGAACTTAATGCCAGCCCCTATAAAAATCTGCACTCGACGGAGCTTCAGAAATCGAAGAGGCACCTGCTCAGAAATCGAAGAGGCGTTTGCTTTCTCAAAAGCTGGGCTGCTTAGAGACCACGAAGGTTGATCTCAGAAATCGAAGAGGCGTTTGCTTTCTCAAAAGTTAGGTTGCTCAAAGACCACGAAGGCCAATCTCAGAAATCGAAGAGGCGCTCGCTTTCTCAAAAGCTGGGCTCCTCAGAGACCACGAGGGCCGATCTCAGAAATCGAAGAGGCACCTACTTTTCCAGCCTTGTCAGCACCTGTCACACGCACACTCAGCTTTGCGGAAATTATGGGCATTCTGTCGAAGACTTCTGAGGAAGTAGAAAACACATGAATCTTACTGTTCAATCACCCACTTCCCACACGCAACAATAGCTCATGGGTATCACAGATAACTTTGCCAAAGTTCTCTGCCAAAATTGAGCACGTAAAGCTTGCAGCTCCCACTACATCGCTCTGACCAAGAAAGGTAAAAGAATAGCAAAGAAACAGCACTAACAAAGTTTAGACCCATAAATTTTGAAGGTCTAGCTACCATATTATTACCCACAAGGGTAAAGGAACAGTACCACTGCTGGATAATTGGAAAGTCCCTGTGTGTCAACCTCTGTGCTTCGTGGCAAGGTAGACTAGCAAACATGCCCAACCTTTACTCACACTCGAGAAAACACTACCAATAAGATTGCTTGCTCCAAAATCGAAGAGGCACCGTCCTCCGAATCTCGAGAGCTAGACTCCCAACATGACTACTTTCTCAAAAATCGAAGAGAGGGTAAAGGAACAGTACCATTGCTGGATAATTGGAAAATCTCTGTGTGTCAACCTCTGTGCTTTGTGGCAAGGTAGACTAGCAAACATGCCCAACCTTTACTCACATTCGAGAAAACACTCTCAACAAGATTGCTTGCTCCAAAATCGAAGAGGCACCGCCCTCCGAATCTCGAGAGCCAGACTCCCAACATGATTACTTTCTCAAAAATCGAAGTGACACTGCTCCCCGAATCTCGAGAGCCAGACCCCCAGCATGATTGCTTTCTTAAAAATCGAAGATGCATCGTTCTCCGAATCAATCGAAGATGCATCGTTCTCCGAATCAATCGAAGATGCATCGTTCTCCGAATCAATCGAAGAGACGCTCGCTTTCTCAAAAGCTGGGCTGTTTAGAGACCACGAGGGCCGATCTCAGAAATCGAAGAGGCACCTACTTTTCTAGCCTTGTCAGCACCTGTCACACGCACACTCAGCTTTGCGGAAATTATGGGCATTCTGTCGAAGACTTCTCGAGAGCCAGATACCACAGACCACTTTTTCAATGTGCTCTGACAGAGTTAAAACATGTGAAGCTGGCAGCTCCCACTACTGTGCTATGACCAAGCAGGGTAAAGGAATAGCATTACTACTTGTTAGGGAGACTCCTATATATGTCGACCTTCATCCCCAACGGACAGGCAGACCTGCAAAAATGCTCAACCCTTCCTCATATCTGAGAGGGCACTCCCCACGAAGCCTTTCGAAATATTCAGCTTTCTTTCCCCCCGATAATACCTCTGCAAACAAGCTATACTAGAGCAAGAATATCTCATATCATCAGGGTTAAAAGCAAGAGTATCCCATATCATGCTTTTTCCCTGTCTTTTCCTTTGGCCTTGTTTTTACCTGCAAGACAAGGAGAAAGAGAGCAATCAGTCAGCACTTGGCATCAAGCTTCCAGCCAGGAACTGACTGCCTGGAACCCCTTACCTGATTACTTACCTGGCATTGCTCTCGAGTACTCATCTTCAACATCTTATGTTTCCAGGGAAGATACCGCATCTGCTTGAGGAACAGATAGGGCAAGTGCGAAGGATACAAGGAAGCATGTGGAGACAAGCGTAACAGCACACGTGCCGATACATCCATTACTCTGTCAAAAGCAAAAGTATCCCATATCAGCAGGGTGGAACGTACTCTAGATTTGATGGACTTGTTTTGACCCTCAAATTCTTCAGTCGGCTCTGGAGGAAACCAGAAAACCCTCCAGCTCAGTTCAAGAATAAGCCTGTGGAAAGTTACTTCTTTAAAAGCAAAAGTATCCCATATCATCTCTTCTCATTTTTCTTCTCTTTATCCTTCATGCTGCTGCAAGATGGGGAGAAGGTGAACAATCAGCCGGAGCTCTGATTGCTTACCTTGTCTGTCACCTCTTTCAGCAGATCCCCTAGCTCGGCGACTTGGGGGACTCCTACTACATGGTTTGTATCGCGCTTGACCAAGCCTGAAACTACAAGTAAGCTTCAAGTGAAATTGATACATTACCTTGTGCATCTCCACCAGTTAAAGATACCACCCCTGGATGGAGGAAGAGTACTTCCAGAGAAGATGCCACATCTACCTATGAGACAGATAAGGCAAGTCAAGACGATACCACACTCCGATACTTAGAAGTTTCGTGATTACGAGATCATTCTCTCACAATATTTCCTAATGTCATTTGTACTAAATCATTCACTTGTACTCACTAAAGGAGAGCTTGAACCTATGTACTTGTGTAAACTCTTCACAATTAATGAGAACTCTTCTATTCCGTGGACGTAGCCAATCTGGGTGAACCACGTACATCTTGTGTTTGCTTTCCTATCTCTATTCATTTATATACTTATCCACACTAATGACCGGAGCAATCTAGCGAAGATAACAAAAAGCGACCGTTTTTGCTGCCTAGGATCTATCTTGCAAGAGAACGGAGAATTAGATGGAGATCTCAACCATAGAATACGAGCTGGATGGATGAAGTGTAAGAGTGCATCCGGCGTGTTATGTGACCGTCGTAGGCCACTGAAGCTCAAGGGAAAATTTCATAGGACGACAATAAGGCCAATGATGTTGTATGGCACAGAATGTTGGACGGTGAAGCATCAACACGTATACAAAATGGGTGTAGCGGAGATGAGGATGCTTCGTGGGATGTGTGGGCACACGAGAAATGATAAGATTGGGCATGAGGATATCCGAGGTAAAGTAGGAGTAGCCGAAATTGAAGGAAAGATGAGAGAAAATCGGTTTCGGTGATTTGGACATGGGCAAAGAAGGCCGACTGACGCTCCGGTTCGAAGATGTGACTACGGGACAGAGGTTCAGGGCCGAAGGGGTAGAGGAAGACCTAGGAAAACTTTGGAAGAGACTCTAAGAAAAGACTTAGAGTACTTGGATCTAACGGAGGACATGACACAAAACCGAGCGCAATGGCGTTCTAGGATTCATATAGCCGACCCCACTTAGTGGGAAAAGGCTTTGTTGTTGTTGTTGTTGTTGTTCAAGTTTCAGAGTAACCGCTATGATGTATGATCAAATTAATGGGGAAAAAAAATAGGAGTAAAATTTGTCTCTTGTTTCTGCAGAAATTTCTCTTGAATTGATTGGTTTTGTTCACCATTTCGATTCAACTGTGCTACTCTTCGACATCACTTTCTTTGAAAAAAATCTGGTTCTTGAGATTACAGCACAATGAGCTGGTAGTGACTTATAAAGTGGTATTTATTTAAAGAAGTTGTGCTAGTTCGTTAGTTTCCATTGTAGCTACAAGATCAGTTTGCATGTTTTCTGATATGTCGCTGTATAAATTCATACAGCTTAATGTTTGAATTTAGGAGTGCGATTTCGAGACGAGGTATGAAAAAGGAATTCGCTTGAGTTGACAATGACAACGACATAAATAGCGATGACAAGAAATAGGCATTTTGCCAATTTGATGTTGAACGGAAGCGGGAGAAAACACTTGAAGGTATGAAGGACTTTGATACTTTGCATTCAGCGTCTCGAAAACTTATTGGCTTCTTTCCTTGTCAAATTCTAGATCCCCTGTTTATTCATTGTCTAGCTAAACTATCACCTAATGAGTGGACAAGCCTGTTAAATTCTGCTCTATTTCAGAATTTGATCGTCACATTCTACTTTTCCAAGATAATAATTTCTCTGTTTTTGAATTTAGGAGTATCCTGTTGATCTGAAGTATGAAAAAGGAAAGGGATTGAGTTGGATTTGGAACGAAACGGTAGAAAGCGTGTGAGGTAAAATTCTGCATTCTTTTCCTACGTCTTCATCAAAACTCTGCATCCTAATATGTCTCACATAGCAAGTTAACAAAACAAAAAAATTATTATTTGAACATTGCAGATTCACTGATTGTGTAGGCAATCATCTGATTCATTAGCCGCTGCAGAGGAAGATGCCGTGGAGATATTGAAATGTAGAAGCAAGAAGACATTCATGTCTGCAGAAAGTCATATTTCATTCAAAATTTTTATTTACAGAAGCATATCAAGTGATAGAAATCATAAAAATTGATCCGTTATGTGCTTGATATTATAACACGTGGATTAGCCCAATGTGCTTGATATTATAATACGTGGATTAGCTCAATGGCGGCGATTTGTTCATAATTTCTTTCTTTTGGTCGACTTAAAGTTGAGACTCATTCCATACACATCGGGTAGTATTACAAAATCATTACCAGGATATCTCTTACATGGCCGGTCCCAAGCCCGGATAAAGGAGGAGGGGGAGGGCGTCAGGTAGTCGACAGCCGGCACTCCATGATCACGTCGAATCCTTATGAAAATGAATCCAGAACAAAATCGCGCTAAAGCTAGGGCGTCACCCGTAAGTGGCGCGCTGTGTGGCCCGAGCACAGTGATAAGTGAGCAAGGGTCGCTGTATCTTCATCGGCACCCGGATGCAGTGTTAAATGAGCAAGGGGGCCATAGAAACTTCTTTTCGAACGACTTCACTCAAAGTTGTTTGGGAGCATATGCTCCTATCAACTTTACCCGAGACACACAAAAGAAGTACTTTGATCCTATTAGACGGGGGAGGGTGAAGAAGCTAGGACAGAAGGGTAGAGTTCAAGAGAGCAAAATGCGTTTAGGAACGTGGAATATAGGAACCTTAACGGGAAAATCTATGGAAGTAGTGGAAGTTATGGTGAGGAGAAGGATAAATATTATGTGCCTACAAGAAACTAAGTGGGTTGGTAGTAAGGCAAAGGATCTAGAAAACTCAGGGTTTAAACTTTGGTATTCGGGCACAAATAGAACGAGAAACGGTGTTGGCATCATCGTGGACAAGACCTTGGTACAAGATGTTGTAGATGTCAAGAGGGTAGGAGATAGAATCATGGCAATCAAGATTGTAATAGGACAAGAACTTATCAATGTGATTAGTGCGTACGCACCTCAAGTAGGGTTGGATACGAGTTCGAAGGAGAAATTTTGGGAAGATCTTGGAGACTTGGTGCAAGGAATTGCGCAGACGGAGAAGTTATTTATAGGAGGAGATTTAAATGGACACGTGGGCAGGGAGACAGGCAACTATGGAGGTTTTCATGGTGGCCATGGTTTTGGGGAGAGAAACGAGGATGGGGAAGCTATCTTGGATTTTGCAATGGCATATGATCTCTTCCTAGCCAACACCTTCTTTAAGAAGAGAGAAGAACATGTGATCACCTACAAGAGTGGGTCGTCAAAAACACAAATAGATTTTCTTCTAATGAGGAAAGGGGATCGTATAACTTGTAAGGATTGCAAAGTTTATACCAGGAGAGAGCGTGGCTAATCAACATCGCTTGTTGGTGATGGATGTACATATCAAAAGAGTAAGACAAAAGAACAAGACTTGGAAGTGCCCAAGGACTAGATGGTGGAATCTAAAAGAAGAAAAACAAGCCATTTTCAAAGAGAAGGTAATCACCCAATGTGTGTGGGATAGAGAGGGGGAAGCTAGCCAAATGTGGGATTCCATGGCTAGTTGTATCCGAAAAGTAGCAAAAGAGGTATTAGGAGAGTCCAAGGGCTTTGCCCCACACCAAAAGGAATCTTGGTGGTGGAATGAGGAGGTACAAACAAAGGTGAAGGCTAAGAAGGAATGTTGTAAAGCCTTATACAAGGAGAGGACCGATGAAAATGGTGAAAGGTATAGAAAAGCGAAGCAAGAGGCGAAGAAAGCTGTCAGAGAAGCTAAGTTAGCGGCTTACGACGATATGTATAAACGACTAGATACCAAAGAAGGAGAGTTGGATATCTATAAACTATCTAGAGCAAGGGAAAAGAAGACAAGGGACCTAAACCAAGTGAGGTGCATCAAGGATGAGGATGGAAAGGTTCTTGCTACAGAGAACGCGGTTAAAGACAGATGGAGAGGTTATTTTCATAATTTTTTCAATGAAGGACATGAAATGAGTGCTTCTTTAGGGGAGTTGAGTAACTCAGAAGAGTGTAGAAACTACTCTTTTTATCGTCGAATCCGGAAGGAAGAAGTGGTTGTAGCTTTGAAGAAGATGAAGCATAAAAAAGCAATAGGCCCAGACGATATACCAATCGAAGTGTGGAAACTTTTGGGAGAGACAGGTATAACATGGCTCACTGACCTTTTCAATATGATTTTGAAAACGAAGAAGATGCCAAATGAGTGGCGAACGAGCACTTTGGTGCCTATCTACAAGAATAAGGGCGACGTACAAAATTGCATGAACTATAGGGGTATTAAGCTAATGAGTCATACAATGAAGCTCTGGGAGAGAGTCATTGAGACACGGGTTTCGGACAACCAATTCGGGTTCATGCCAGGGCGCTCAACCATGGAGGCAATCTATCTCTTACGAAGATTGATGGAAAGATATAGAGATGGGAAAAAGGATTTACACATGGTCTTTATAGATTTGGAAAAGCGTATGATAGGGTCCCAAGAGACATTCTTTGGAGGATTTTAGAGAAGAAAGGAGTACGAGTAGCATATATCCAAGCTATAAAGGATATGTATGAAGGAGCAAAGACTGCCGTAAGAACTTATGAAGGACAAACCGAAAGCTTTCCCATAACTGTAGGATTACATCAAGGCTCATCCTTAAGTCCTTACCTTTTTGCGTTGGTAATGGATGAGTTAACAGGACATATTCAAGATGATATTCCTTGGTGTATGCTTTTCGCAGACGATATAGTGTTGATAGATGAAACTCAGGAAGGGGTAAATGCAAAGCTTAACCTTTGGAGAGAAGTGTTGGAATCTAAAGGTCTTCGCCTAAGCCGAGCAAAGACAGAATATATGGAGTGCAAGTTCAGTGCAAATGGAGGCCAAAACGAGTTAGGGGTGAGGATCGGAGATCAAGAAATACCAAAGAGCGACAGTTTTCGTTACCTAGGATCTATCTTGCAAAAGAACGGAGAATTAGATGGAGATCTCAACCATAGAATACAAGCTGGATGGATGAAGTGGAAGAGTGCATCCGGCGTGTTATGTGACCGCCGTATGCCACTGAAGCTCAAGGGAAAATTTTATAGGACGGCAATAAGGCCGGCGATGCTGTATGGCACAAAATGTTGGGCGGTGAAACATCAACACGTACACAAAATGGGTGTAGCGGAGATGAGGATGCTTCGTTGGATGTGTGGGCACACGAGAAAGGATAAGATTAGGAATGAGTATATCCGGGGTAAAGTAGGAGTAGCCGAAATTGAAGGAAAGATGAGAGAAAATCGGTTACGGTGGTTTGGACATGTGCAAAGAAGGCCTACTGACGCTCCGATTAGAAGATGCGACTACGGGACAGAGGTTCAGGGCCGAAGGGGTAGAGGAAGACCTAGGAAAACTTTGGAAGAGACTCTAAGAAAAAAGACTTAGAGTACTTGGATCTAACGAAGGACATGACACACATGATCGAGCACAATGGCGTTCTAAGATTCATATAGCCGATCCCACTCAGTGACTTGGATTTTCCAAGTCTCCAACCGAGAAGTTTTCCTCACTCGGAAAATTAAGGGAACACTACCCCAACCTACATGCTCCACTCAGAAAGCTTCAACATACAAGCTTCAACAAAAGAAAATTCAAAGAACTTAGCGAAGAAGGTTTTGGTGTATTTAACACAATACGTTGAAATGAAGGAAAGCTTATTTATTGATATCCCCGATAAGCTACAAATATGAACATATACATGAGTCAAAATAAACACACAAGAGGGAGCCTTCACAAAGGTTGCTTAGGAGAAGTCTCAGCAGTCGGTAGAGCCCCAGAAAGAGAAGGCACCGGAGGGGGATCATTTGGAGCCTCAGTACTGGACAGAACCCTAGAAGGAGGAGGCATCAGAGGTTGATCATTTGGAGCTTCATTACGTGGTACAGCCCCAGAAGACGAAGGCAATAAATGCCTTTGGAACAAACCCACAAATCTCTGATGATCAAGTAAAACCTGACCATCAGTTTCCTTCATCTGGTCAAGCTTCCTCTTCATGTTTGTAGCATAGTCATGTGCGAGCCGGTGCAACTATTTATTCTCCTGTTTGAGACATCTAATCTCCTGTTTGAGACTCATCACTTCAGCCGCCAATGATTCAACTTGGCGGGTTCGAGCAAATAGGCGTTGGGCCATATTAGACACAGAACCTGCACACTGAACACTGAGAGCCAGCGAATCCTTAACAGCTAACTCATCAGACCGTTTGGAAAGTAGTCTGTTATCTTTGGGAGTGAGAAGGTTCCTGGCCACCACAGCAGCGGTCATATCATTCTTCATCACGGAATCCCCAACGGTAAGAGGACCAGTAGGGGAGACGAAGGATGGGCGCCATATGTTGTCTGGAGAAGGCGGGGCTGCCTCTTCAACAAGGTTCAAGTCAAAACGACGGTCGGAGGGGCCAGACATTTTCAAAGGTGTTGAAGAGAGAAGAGGTCGGACAAATCAAAATCTTAGAAGTGCAAGAATGAAGCTTCTACTGGTGGAGATTCAAGTGTGCTTTGGAACTTAATGCCAGCCCCTATAAAAATCTGCACTCGACGGAGCTTCAGAAATCGAAGAGGCGCCTGCTTAGAAATAGAAGAGGCGTTTGCTTTCTCAAAAGCTGGGCTGCTTAGAGATCACGAGGGTTGATCTCAGAAATCGAAGAGGCGTTTGCTTTCTCAAAAGTTGGGCTGCTCAAAGACCACGAAGGCTGATCTCAGAAATCGAAGAGGTGCTCGCTTTCTCAAAAGCTGGGCTCCCCAGAGACCACGAGGGCCGATCTCAGAAATTGAAGAGGCACCTACTTTTCCAGCCTTGTCAGCACCTGTCACACGCACACTCAGCTTTGCGGAAATTATGGGCATTCTGTCGAAGACTTCTGGGGAAGTAGAAAACACATGAATCTTACTGTTCAATCACCCACTTCCCACACGCAACAATAGCTCATGGGTACCACAGAAAACTTTGCCAAAGTTCTCTGCCAAAGTTGAGCACGTGAAGCTTGTAGCTCCCACTACATCGCTCTGACCAAGAAGGGTAAAAGAATAGCAAAGAAACAACACTAACAAAGTTTAGACCCATAAATTTTGAAGGTCTAGCTACCATATTATTACCCACAAGGGTAAAGGAACAGTACCACTGCTGGATAATTGGAAAGTCCCTGTGTGTCAACCTCTGTGCTTCGTGGCAAGGTAGACTAACAAACATGCCCAACCTTTACTCACATTCGAGAAAACACTCCCAATAAGATTGCTTGCTCCAAAAGCCAGACTCCCAACATGACTACTTTCTTAAAAATCGAAGAGAGGGTAAAGGAACAGCACCATTGCTGGATAATTGGAAAGTCCCTGTGTGTCAACCTCTGTGCTTCGTGGCAAGGTAGACTAGCAAACATGCCCAACCTTTACTCACATTCGAGAAAACACTCCCAACAAGATTGCTTGCTCCAAAATCGAAGAGGCACCGCCCTCCGAATCTCGAGAGCTAGACTCCCAACATGATTACTTTCTCAAAAATCGAAGAGACACTGCTCCCCGAATCTTCGAGAGCCAGACCCCCAGCATGATTGCTTTCTCAAAAATCGATGAGGCATCGTTCTTCGAATCAATCGAAGAGGCGCTCACTTTCTCAAAAGTTGGGCTGCTCAGAGACCACGAGGGCCGATCTCAGAAATCGAAGAGGCACCTACTTTTCTAGCCTTGTCAGCACCTGTCACACGCACACTCAGCTTTGCAGAAATTATGGGCATTCTGTCGAAGACTTCTGGTGAAGTAGAAAGCACATGAATCTTACTGTTCAAGCACCCACTTCCCACACGCAACAATAGCTCATGGGTACCACAGATAACTTTGCCAAAGTTCTCTGCCAAAGTTGAGCACGTGAAGCTTGCAGCTCCCACTACATCGCTCTGACCAAGAAAGGTAAAAGAATAGCAAAGAAACAGCACTAACAAAGTTTAGACACATAAATTTTGAAGCTCTAGCTACCATATTATTACCCACAAGGGTAAAGGAACAGTACCACTGCTGGATAATTGGAAAGTCCCTGTGTGTCAACCTCTGTGCTTCGTGGCAAGATAGACTAGCAAACATGCCCAACCTTTACTCACATTCGAGAAAACACTCCCAACAAGATTGCTTGCTCCAAAATCGAAGAGGCACCGTCCTCCGAATCTCGAGAGCCAGACTCCCAACATGACTACTTTCTCAAAATCGAAGAGAGGGTAAAGGAACAGTACCATTGCTGGATAATTGGAAAGTCCCTGTGTGTCAACCTTTGTGCTTCGTGGCAAGGTAGACTAGCAAACATGCCCAACCTTTACTCACATTCGAGACAACACTCCCAACAAGATTGCTTGCTCCAAAATCGAAGAGACACCGCCCTCCGAATCTCGAGAGCCAGACTCCCGACATGATTACTTCCTCAAAAATCGAAGAGACACTGCTCTCCGAATCTCGAGAGCCAGACCCCCAACATGATTGCTTTCTCAAAAATCGAAGAGGCATCGTTCTCCGAATCTCGAGAGCCAGATACCACAGACCACTTTTTCAAAGTGCTCTGACAGAGTTAAAACATGTGAAACTGGCAGCTCCCACTACCGTGCTATGACCAAGCAGGGTAAAGGAATAGCATTACTAATTGTTAGGGAGACTCCTATATATGTCGACCTCCATCCCCAACGAACAGGCATACCTGCAAAAATGCTCAACCCTTCATCATATCTGAGAGGGCACTCCCAACGAAACCTTTCGAAATATTCAGCTTTCTTTCCCCCCGATAATACCTCTGCAAACAAGCTATACTAGAGCAAGAATATCTCATATCATCAGGGTTAAAAGAAAGAGTATCCCATATCATGATTTTTCCCTGTCTTTTCCTTTGGCCTTGTTTTTACCTGCAAGACAAGGAGAAAGAGAGCAATCAGTCAGCACTTGAAATCAAGCTTCCAGCCAGGAACTGACTGCCTGGAACCGCTTACCTGATTACTTACCTGACATTGCTCTCGAGTACTCATCTTCAACATCTTATGTTTCCAGGGAAGATTCCGCATCTGCTTGAGGAACAGATAGGGCAAGTGCGAAGGATACAAGGAAGCATGTGGAGACAAGCGTAACAGCACACGTGCCGATACATCCATTACTCTGTCAAAAGCAAAAGTATCCCATATCAGCAGGGTGGAACGTACTCTAGATTTGATGGACTTGTTTTTGACCCTCAAATTCTTCAGTCGGCCTTATACTCTGGAGGAAACCAGAAAACCCTCCAGCTCAGTTCAAGAATAAGCCTGTGGAAAGTTACTTCTTCAAAAGCAAAAGTATCTCATATCATCCCTTCTCATTTTTCTTCTCTTTATCCTTCATGATGCTGCAAGATGGGGAGAAGGTGAACAATCAGTCGGAGCTTTGATTGCTTACCTTGTCTGTCACCTCTTTCAGCAGACCCCCTAGCTCGGCGACTTGGGGGACTCCTACTACATGGTTTGTATCGCGCTTGACCAAGCCTGAAACTACAAGTAAGCTTCAAGTGAAATTGATACATTACCTTGTGCATCTCCACCAGTTAAAGATACCACCCCTGGATGGAGGAAGAGTACTTCCAGAGAAGATGCCACATCTACCTATGAGACAGATAAGGCAAGTCAAGACGAAACCACACTCCGATACTTAGAAGTTTTGTGATTACGAGATCATTCTCCCACAATATTTCCTAATGTCATTTGTACTAAATCATTCACTTGTACTCACTAAAGGAGAGCTTGAACCTATGTACTTGTGTAAACCCTTCACAATTAATGAGAACTCTTCTATTCCGTGGACGTAGCTAATCTGGGTGAACCACGTACATCTTGTGTTTGCTTTCCTATCTCTATCCATTTATATACTTATCCACACTAATGACCGGAGCAATCTAGCGAAGATCACAAAAAGCGACCGTTTTTGCTACCTAGGATCTATCTTGCAAGAGAACGGAGAATTAGATGGAGATCTCAACCATAGAATACGAGCTGGATGGATGAAGTGTAAGAATGCATCCGGCGTGTTGTGTGACCGTCGTAGGCCACTGAAGCTCAAGGGAAAATTTTATAGGACGGCAATAAGGCCAGCGATGTTGTATGGCACAGAATGTTGGGCGGTGAAGCATCAACACGTACACAAAATGGGTGTAGCGGAGATGAGGATGCTTCGTGGGATGTGTGGGCACACGAGAAAGGATAACATTGGGAATGAGGATATCCGAGGTAAAGTAGGAGTAGCCGAAATTGAAGGAAAGATGAGAGAAAATCGGCTCCGGTGATTTGGACATGTGCAAAGAAGGCCGAATGACGCTCCGGTTCGAAGATGTGACTACGGGACAGAGGTTCAGGGCCGAAGGGGTAGAGGAAGACCTAGGAAAACTTTGGAAGAGACTCTAAGAAAAGACTTAGAGTACTTGGATCTAACGAAGGACATGACACAAAACCGAGCGCAATGGCGTTCTAGGATTCATATAGCCGACCCCACTTAGTGGGAAAAGGCTTTGTTGTTGTGGCATGCAGCAAAATAAACACTTTGGTGCTGCCTGTGCAGCCAAGTGCGTCGCGGGCTGCAGACGGTGGCTAATTTGGGGGCAGCTGCTGTGGAAGTGGAAAGTGATTCCGCTCAAGCTTTGGCGGAGCTGCACCAAAACATTTTGGGGCTTCTCGATATGAAACCGATAGTCTTTTACAACAACTGACAATTAAGCCTATAAAAATAATACCACAGCTCCTTCAGTTAAAAACACATGCATCAAGCCTGGCAGAACTCGAGGTACGAACTCTTCGTACCTTGGGATTCCGAAGAGATCGTACCTTGGGATTCCGAAGAGAAAATTCTTGGAAGAGGTTCCATGTCTGCAGAAAGAGTCGTATTTCATTCAAAAAACTTATTTACAGATTCATATCGAGTGATAGAAACCATAAAAAGTAATCCATTACATGTTTGATATTATAATACGTGGATTAGCTCAACGGAGATTTGTTCATAATTTCTTTCTTTTGGTCGACTTAGATTTGAGATTCATTCCTTACACATCGGGTAGTACTACAAAATCGTTACTAGGATATCACTCTACGCTAACGATACCACTCTACGGAAAAGAAATTAACGGGTTCCAATTATGAAAATGGTCAAATACATTATTTGTAAGTAAAAAAATACAAATAGTATCCATTAAAATAATCATCGTGTCCAGCCATTCGATCGGTTACACAGTAACCAACATCCAAGGGTGAGGGCAATGAAGCTATCAAATCTCGAAGGATACTAAGTAACAACAGGTAATGCTAGAAAGAACAAATTTGCAAACCAAATGATGTGATTACAGATGATTGGATTATTAATTAAGTGTCAGTCAACGTTACTTGGTTCTTATTAGTGATAAGTTGTGCAATATAGATCTCTCAAGGCAAATTGTTAAAAGAACACCATTCTTGTAACATTGAATCTAACCAAAAGACATTACTCAAAATATGAAATTCAACTCCGAAGTAAGTTTGCCCAAAATTATAACAACTTAAACAAATGCTTAAGGATAACATCTCCAAAAACTTGTTCAAACACGTAATCTAGTAAGCGGAAATCAGAACAGAAACGAAGTTTGGATTACACGAATACAATTCCCAGCGGAAGTTGGATTGCGCGAAATCAGTTCACAGCAGCATCAATGAATGCTCCACCAGGGCGACGCAATGCCAAAGATCCATGGCATCCCAAAAGCTGCAAAACAACAAATGAATCACTAATTCGTACAAACAAATAGGAGGAAACCAGACTCAATTCGAGGAAGTAACAGTAAAACAAAACGTGCTAGCTTGGAATAAATGGACAAACCTTGGCATTGACACCATCAGGTATGATACGACCCTCAGACTTCAACCTCACATAGTCAGTTCTGTTGAACTTGGTGAATCCCCTGAAAAAAGTAACGAAGTTGCAGCACAAGGTTCAATCCTTCACATTTCATCAACAGAAACTACACGAAATCCTCTATTTAAGTCATGAAAGCATTCCAGTTTGAATTCATGATCACTTTTAGTTATCAAACTACTCGGATTCGAAACACATTAGCTATCATGCCATGAATAAAACCATACCAATTTGAAGCACAATAAGGCCTAATTCTACAGAAACCTTAATACAAAACAATCCAAAACAAACTTTTGGCTTCTGGGTTATGAGGTTTAGAGTTCACAATCCAAAATTAACAAATTGCAGTGGCAATATTCCAACAAACATGTTAAATGTCAATATTGCAGCAAAATATGGTTTAACAGTAATCTACTTATGACAAACATAAGACTTAATCTTACAAATCCTAAGAGAGAGAACAACAATTGAAATACGATTTCGATTTTGGGTTTTAGATTTTAAGTTAGAGAGATCAAAACCCAAAAACTAATAAGCCCACAAAAACTCAAGAGGTGAGAAATCATACCATTTTCTGCTCTCGATGATCTTTTGGCGGCCTGGAAACTTGAACTTGGCACGGCGGAGGGCCTCAGCGGCGTGGCTCTTGTTGCTTTCCTTGCAACGCACAGAGAGCAGGACCTGTCCAATAGCAACCCTAGCGCAAGTACCTAGCGGCTTCCCGAAAGCTCCGCGCATACCAGTCTGAAGCCTATCGGCTCCGGCGCACGAAAGCATCTTGTTGATTCGGAGGACATGGAAGGGGTGAACCCTAACCCTCAGGTGGAAGGTATCCTTGCCGGCGAACTTGGTCATGTACTTGTTGCATGCAATTCGCGCCGCCTCGAGAGCCTCGCTGGAAACGTTTTCCTTCTCCCAGGAGACGAGGTGGATGCAGAAGGGGAACTCGTCGACGCCCTTCTTCTTCATGCCGACGTCATAGATTCGGATCTTCGGGTCTGGCACACCGCGGCAGAGCGGGATTTCGGGTAGGGCTTGTTCTTGATCTGGCGGTAGCATCTAGCGGGTCTTCTCCCCATGGCGGCGGCGGCTGGTTCTCGAAACCCTAGTTTTTCTGGATGGGAAAGATGGAGTGAGAGGTTGAAGACGAAATGTGGTTTGGTGTTTGTATATATAGTCTCTGAAATCGGAAGCCCTAAGGCGATGGTCGAGCGTGTGCGTATGGGCTTGCGTCATGTGAAGCTTGGGTCGGCTGGGGTCCGTGGATATAGCCCAAATCAATGTTTTGGGTTGCTTGTTGGACCCGACTCATCTTATTTGGGCTTTGAATCTAATTTAAAAACAATGTGTAGGTTAATACGGAAAGAAGGATGTCAGGGTGATCTTTGTTGTGAAATCCCGTTCCTGAATTTCACTGTTATATTATACGTATTTGTATTATTGAGATTTTATATTTTTGGAAAATTAATTATTTAAAATCCGTAGACCATTCGAGGTCACAAATTATATTGTTGAATAGATATCGAGATCACGAACGCATAGACGAAAACTGTTTGCGAGTCTAGATTTTAACGGTATAATTACGGACATTTGAAATTTTGTTGCTCTAAAAAAATAAAAAATAAAAAAAAGAGAGAAGAAAAAGCCACGGCAGTGGCTAAAAGAAAAGGAAGAAAAAAAAGAAAAAGCCACGGGGGGTGGCGTGAGAAAAAGAAGAAAACGGGGGGGGGGGAAGAAGGAAAAAGGAAGAAAGGGAGAAACGGGTCCGTACGATTCGTGTGTATTGCCGGCCACCCATCTCCATTTTCCGACGAATTTCTTCAAACAACCACTTGGAAACACTCCCTTGACCTTCCCTATACATGTTTCACCCAAAAAATCAAAGGTTTTGGACTTGAATTAGGGAGAAACCGCACTAAGGGTATGGCGGGTGTGTGTGTTCAAATCTTCCAAATCCAAAATGTTGACACCCAATGACCACCACCAAAAGACTTGCCTTGAGCCCCTGAACAAAGCCCAAGCAGTGTTGGAGGCGTCGGAGTTCGATTGGAAGCCGAATCAAAGCACACCCTTTTCTAGGGTTTCAGCGGGTTTGAGCAAAATTGAGGTGTTTCCTGGTCAAATTGGACTTGGCCACAAGTATAAAGTTTGCTCTACTCTTTGAGATCTTCATTTCTGTAATTTTTGGTAATTTTAAAAAACAGTTGAAATTTTCCGGCAAGTTGGGGCGGCCAACCGCCACGTGCGGCGGTGCATGCGGTGGCGGCCTGGCCAATGGGCCAACGATGTCCTTTTAAGTTCAAATAGATGCCTTGGTTTCATAATTGATATCTGTATGACATAATTTGATTGTTTTTTACTTAGTTTCATTACGATACCTTACTTGGTTAAAATGTGAATCGATGATCTGACCGTTGGATCGTCACCAAACTTTAATATAGAACGTAATATTTGAGGATAGTTGGAACTGACGGATCGGGGATCCGACGTACAGATCTTCCTGAATTGAATTTCTAAGTTTGTAAAATCAAACGTTGGCCGCCACTTGAATTTGAAATTAGCGGAGATCCAACTGTCGGATCATGGTGAAATTTTAGTAGGTTGTTTTAGAAGCGTAATGTGGACTTTAGAAAGTTACGGATCCAAAATCCAATGTGCAGATCTTACGGATCAAGTTGCATAGAATTATGGACCCTACCTTTGAACGAGAGTTGACTCTTGGTCAACATGTCTCCAAACGTTCTTAAGACTAAGATTAGTACTACGGGAGACTTAAGTGAAGTCGTGTAGGCCTACATTGGTTGGAGAGTGACTTGAATATTTGTAATATTACTTATTATCTTAATTTCTTATATTGGTATCAATTGTGAATATGAATTGGTTTTATAAATGTGAATTCTATTGAAATGTGATTTTTATATATTTAGCCATAGGCCTATGATTATTAAACATGATTTGGCTTGGTACTGATGATGGTTGTGACTTATGTGAGTTAAATTATCTTTTAGTAATGTGAACGATGTGTGTGATTATTTTTATGACAATGTGATCCTAGAATCCTATTAGAAGTATGTTGTAGCACTTATATGCTTGCGTGACATATTAGTGGTGACCTCGAGAAGTTGATGGTGTAGGTGACTACGTTGTAACTCATAAGGGTTGAGATGTGGATAAGTTGAGTTGTTGAATTTACCACACCATGTAGTAGTTGTACTTGGTACATTTGATGGGGGAATCATATACTTGTTTGGATTCCGTTAAGTGATGTTCCGGAATCGTATCCTTGTGTGGATTCCGTTGAGTGATGGTCCGGAATCCCTTCTACACTATGATTCCGTTGAGTGATGTTCCGGAATCGTATCTCGGTTTGGATTCCGTTGAGTGATGGTCCGGAATCCCTTTTACTCCGCGATTCCGTTGAGTGATGGTCCGGAATCGTATTCTAGTTTGGATTCCGTTGAATGATGCTCTGGAATCGTATCCATTTGGATTCCGTTGAAAGATAGTCCGGAATCCCTCATATTTCGTGATTCCGTTAAGTGATGGTCCGAGATCGTACTCACCTTGGGATTCATTGAATTTGAATTTAGATAGCTTCAAAGGTGTAGGCTTCGGTCAAACTGTGTCGCTCTAACCCTACTTTACATTGTGTTGTATGAGAAGATGGTTGTGAGATGTTGTGATGGGTTTCAGACGAACCGTTGGATGTCTGGGTGACTCCTTTGGGGTTTACAAAAGTTTGGTATTGATTTCTTATGAATAATTTATATTCAAGAGATGTAAACGGTGATTAATGGTTAGCTTTATCATTATTATCACATACTTGTATTATTGTCACTCACCCGAGCTTTGTGGCTTATCTGAATTCTTGATGCCGATGCACCATTCCTATGGTGTAGTCACTGATTGTACAGATTTCAGGTCTGAAGAGATTACAAGAGGGCACTTAGTATTTTGGTTGGATTCTGTTGAGTGGTCTGGAATCCCTACTCTTGCTCATTTTCGTAAAGGTAGTTCGACCTTAGAGTCGAGTGAATATGAATTGTTCACAGTAGACATTGTGTATAAATTAGACCTATCATGTTAGTACTTGGAATCAAGGTGGGGAATTATGAAGAGATCCTTTATTAAAATTTGTGAATGGATATGAGACCTTATTGATTGAATAACATAGTAATTGTAGATATCATGCATCTTTGATTTTAGGATTGATTAAGTAGAATGATGGCGGAATGATGTGGGATATGATTGTTATTATTATGATTAGTCTCGTTGCTCAAAGTGGCTTGAGAATAATATTGTGCTTTGTTGGTTCTTGGATATGTTACATGTGGTGGATTAAGGTTTCATGTTGAAAACATAGTGACTTATATGAGAGGTGGAATGGAAACTTTGATTGTCATATTGGATTGTTATGTAGCCTTGAATCTAGTACTTCCATACTTGTCAAATTCTAATGATTGATTGAGAAATGATATATCTTTCGGCTTGAATGTATTGTGGTAAAGGTAGATGGGTAGTGATCGATGAACTACGAATGGCTTGATCCCTGTTTAGGGTACGTAGGCAGTCTAACGAGGAGGTTAGATGCAGCCATAAAGCTTACGAAAAATTATTATGTAGTTGGATCTTGAGTTATGCCTTGTGCATATCTCAAAGGTGGGATCTGTTAGATATATGGATGCTGGATGACGTCACGCGTCGATCCTGGACATATGTTGGGTTCGGGGCGTGACATTTGTTTTAGGAGCCATACAATGTGGCGGTTGACAATTGGATAAGGCGTCCCATCATATGATCTACAAAATTTGATTGAAATAGATGGTCTTTGTTTCTTATGATCCTCAAACTCATTATTGCGTGATATTTTAGTCTTTTTTTTTCTTTTAACTTAATTAGAGTAACTGTAACGTCATGAGTTACGGATGTAATTATTTTTTAGAAATGCATGATCTAAAGATAAAAAATAAAGCTAACTAGAATGTCGAGAGGTAAAAAGTAGCAAATTTCTTGAATATAGAGAGGATTACAATCACTACAAAAATGATTAAAGATCAAAACAAAGCTAACTTGGCCCATCTATAAGCTGTAAAACTAATAAAACTCCAAATGTGATTAATCCGCGTATTAGTAAAAGAGGGTAACCAATTTTAGAAGGGTAAGAAAGGCTCTATTTTGCTTTGGGTGGGGCCCATTCAACCCTGAGGATGAGATTGTCATAACCGTAGCCATCAAGTTTGTTGATTGCTCTCTGGGCATCGTCCCTACTCACAAACTCGACAAACCCAAATCCTCTGCTAACGGAAGTAGTCTTGTCCCGGACAACGTGAGCACGGGTCACGGGGCCGAAAGGCCGGAAAAGTTCATGCAAGTCGGCCTCCTGTGTGTCCTCCGAAAGGTTGGAAACGCGAACCGAGTTGTCATCGTTCCTTCGTCTCATGTCACCACTTGCATTTTTGTTAGGAGGCACATACTTGCCATGTCCGGACGTAGGACGCTTATGATCAGTAAACGGTTCGGGGTCCTGGGGGGCTAAATCCTTGTTGGGGCAATGGGCAGTCCAGTGGTCACCCTTCTTACCACAAGTCCTACAAAGTTTGATCTCCCCTCCTTTTCCAAGTCCATCACCCAAAGCCTCTCCTCCTGCAGTTTTGCTACCTGTTAAAAATGGAGCGTCAATAATAATCTAATTCGACATGAGAAGTAAAAAGTTAAAAGAGAAAGACAACTTTCAGAAAGAAAATTTTAAAAAATAAAGTAACTTACAACCCATTCATACGTGTTAAATGACACATTAAAAGATTCTGAAAAATCAGATAACGTTTCTCTTAATTTTTTTTGTTTAAATTTGTATACTATATTACTAGAACAAAGTACAAACTAAACTTCTAATTGAATTTTGAATGGAGTCAGTGTTAAGTGACACATTAAGGATTTTGAAATTTACAGTAATGATTTTCTTTAGTTTGAACTGATAAATTAAAATTTGTGTATAAATCGAGACAACAATTCAACAATTTCTTAATCAACATATCTAACCTCTCCACAAAAACCTAAATTATATATGTGATTCGCCAAAAAAGAAGTTCATGCAAGTCAAAACATACGCAGAGCCGTCTTTTTGCCCCCAAAGTAGTGAACTACTGTGATAAAGTCATCATTTTTTTTTGGAATTTTAACAAAAAGTTCTTGGTACTGTTCATTTTAACAAAAAACCATATTTTTACACTAAAAAATCAATCATAATACTATTCACTTTACTATTTATTTTGTCCTTATCGTTAAAACTCAAAGTTTTCAAACCTTTTTCATTAGTTTTTTTTTTTTTTTAAACACACGTACGCAGAGCTCTCTAATAAATTTTAGATAATGTGAAAAAAAAAACACAGCAGTCCAAAAATCCTAAAAGAGGAAGAGCAAGGCATACCTGGAGCCCTAGGGCGCTCGAGGACGATCTCTTCCGTGGAGACCATAGTGAGACTGTCGTCTACCACCCCTCGGTCACCCGCACCTTTATTCACGGGCGCGGCATCACCGAACTTTGCCCACAAGCGGCGCTCCACGACCCGCTTATTGACGACGATTTTCCGAACCTGAATATTGGTTGTGATCTTGACCTTAGTGCCGTCCTCCTTGATCTTGTACTCAATCACCTTCTTGATGCCGTTCTTGTCGGGCCCAATCACCTGCTTCGGCGGCAGAAGGAATGTCAGGTCCTCCTCGCCGCCTTCATCTTCGAGCTCTCCCCATCGGAGATTGGACGGTTGCTGCGTCATGGCTCTCTCTCTCGGTGTGTTTTTTAGGTTACAGAATTAGGGTTTGGATGTGAACGTCTGAGAGTGAGATAGAAACGAGAGGGAAGAGGTATTTATGTGTTTGATCGATGCCAACTCTTTTCTCCACTAGCTAGCTAGGAATCCTCTTATCATTACTAAAAAATTTCCAGCCGCCTCAAGTTCTATGGGAAATCCTCACGCCATTTGGATTAGGAAAATCTCAAGTTATTAAACGATGTTCTTTCCTTTCTTGTATAGGTTGACTATTATTGTAGGAATTTATATGTTGTAGGTTACTTGCCTTGCACTCCAAGCCTTCTTTGTAATGGGAGACAATTTACATGAGCGTCTCATGCCAATAAAACAATAATATGTGGACAAAAACTTACACGTGTCTTTTCTTCATTGGCACGGGACGCCAACATGGCAGTGTACCAGTGCCATATAATGAGAGTGTTGGTGTAGTTTTTTGCACGAATCAGATAACTATGTTGGAGGGTTTTTTTTATTACAAATTTCCCACACAACAAGCACTGATATGATTGAAATTTAAAAAAGTTGCTAAAGACGGCATTCATTTGGCTATGGACATCAAAGCTTGGTTAAGGTCATTTGGTACTTCTTGTGCTTGTCAAGTCCGCTAATTCACTAATATGGTTACATATAGATTGACCAAGTTAGTCTTGTATTCATATTCTGAAGTTTTTATTTTAATATTTGAGATCCTCTGAATTTGATTCATAAGGACCCTTACGAAGATTGAAATTATCTCTTAATTCTCTTAATAAAATTGCTATCATTTCTCCTAAAAATCTTCTTGTAACTTTTCACTGTAACTGGCCACCAACCACCACCTCCTAACCATCTGCCTCCCGTAGCGCCGCCCCTCCCTCTCCGTTTCTCCTCTTCCCTCCTGCCCTTGAGAACTCAAAACGTTAATCGTATTTGCATACTCAACTTGAACAAACTGGAACAAAACATTTCTGAATTATCTGATCTATGGCAAAAGATTTTAGTTTCTTGTATGCAAGTATGCAACTGTTTTGAATGTTCAAGTATACTAGTTTTACAACAAAAGGATAAAAAAATGCACTCCTCTACCTCCCCAATCTTACAAAAATCCAAATCAAATGCGGCTATAGTTCCCTCTACGGTTCCTATCTTGGTGTAATTGTCGGTACGACTCGGCTAACAAGGTCACTGCCAGAGACGTCTATAGAGACGTAAGGATGCCTCGCTGCATTGGATGAGGGTGGAAGAGTCACTACCTTTCCACCACTACTGCTCGTCACTGATTCCGATGTTCTGCTGTCAGACTCCGGCATCATAAACCATATGTTCTCGAGTTCCCGAACAACCTCCGCCATTGAGGGTCTCGCGTCTGTCTCCACTTTGCAACACTTGAGAGCCAAACTCAAGAACTTTTCCACACACTCGGAAGGATAAGACCCCATTCTTCCATCAATAACTGAGAAGATCATACCGGATTGGAATGCAATGTTTACCTGAAGTGCAAAAAAACTTGTAAATAACACTAAACTGGTGCATCTAGTCGATCACAAGGATTAATTAGCGTCAACCATAAGTGGTCTTGACTAAGACGTTATGTCCTTATTGTTGGGAAAAATTTAGAGTACACAACTCTAACATAAGTGTTGGAGAGACAACACAAGTAAACAAATTACTTGTATTACACACACAAAATATTACAACACACAAACTATCAAAGACACACTTGAGAAGCTATGACACTCACTCACTTTCTAGAGATAAACTCTAGATCACTCACACTCCTCACAAGACTACTCTTACTTCTTACTCTCACTTGGTTGCCTACTTCTCCTTGGTTGGTTGATTGGTTGGTTACTTACTTACTTGGTTGATACAAATGGTGTGGATGCCTTCTCCCTTTATAGGCATGGATGGAACCTTGGAGAAGTATGAAAACATCATGCTAGAGTTATCTAGATAATTCTACTAACTTCCCAAGCTAGAATTATCTACACTATTCTTGCATTTGGTGGAAACCTCACCATTCTTCTAGAATCTTCCACCAACTTAAGGAACAACCTTCTTTGCTAGAGTTTTCTAGCATATTCCCATGATAGAATCTTCTAGAGAAAACCATGCATGTTTGAACTAGACCAATCTAGTTCCTTTGTACCGACTGATCTTAATGGGCTGGTGTTGATCTTTAACACTTATATGCAAAGAAAAGAAAATGGTCTACATATATAGTGTTATCCAAAACAGAGTCTGTAATTAGGTTCGAGTAATTACCTCTCGAACAATGTTTTTTCCATGTGAGATTGGCTGCATGCCTGTTAAGAGCTCCAAAAACACAACACCGAGGCTATAAACATCGCTCTTATCCGTTAGCATATGAGTTAAGAAGTATTCTGGATCAAGGTAACCCTGAAATATCAATTCAAATAATAAGAGAGTTTTTAATCTGTGTAGCTATTAGTTAGGTAAGTACAATGCTTACGAGTCTTACCGGTGTCCCTTTCACTACTGTGGATACATGAGAAGACACAGTCCCTTCAAAATCTGGAACCGGGGCAAGACGGGAAAGGCCAAAATCAGCAACCTTTGCAATGAACTTAGAGTCCAATAATATATTGGTGGCCTTGATATCTCGATGAAATATCGGAGGGTTGGCTTCTGTATGGAGGTATAGGATGCCCTTGGCTGATCCCTGAGCAATTCTTAATCTCATCTCAAAACCCAGTGGTTCTTTAGACCTAGCGGCTGAGACACGCATCAATTATAAAGTTGTCGAATGGCATGTAACCGAAATCCCTATTGTAAATTCTTAGTCAAACATTTACCAGCGGTAAATTACTCTACCGAAATTCAGACAGAGATGAATTAAGAACCAAAGACAGTAAAACAAGAGTATTAGGTTTACCAGAAAGGTGATCCCTTAGAGTTCCATTGGACATAAACTCATAAACCAACATCTGCATGCACAAAAATAACACAAGTCAAGCTTTTCCCAAGTAAAATTGTTGGTCCGACATAACAAAAGAGGGCAAGAAGAGGAGATAAAATGTAGCAGAACTACATTCAGAAAGGATAAGCGAATGTACCTGTTCCCCTTTTTCATCACAATACCCAACTAAGGACACGAGATTCCTATGATGTAAGGGTGACAATAATTCTATTTCTGTTAGAAACTCCTTCTCGCCCTGTAATGATCCCCCTTGTGCACGTTTTATGGCCACAACGGTTCCGTCAGCCAGGATGCCTTTATAAACATTTCCATAACCTCCTTGTCCAATTTGAGCAGAGCTGCTAAAGTTGTTTGTAGCCGTGGCCATTTCTCTAAAAGTAAAATCCTTGACACCTTCAATTTTTATGGAGCTCTTGGTTGCTGCATATAAACGAAGGCGCAATGTTAAAAAGTGAAATTATTTGGACCAAGAGTTGATGCACCTGTTCAATCTTGTTAAATTCAATTGGGTGCGGGGCTTCTCAGGGTTCCTAACTCGGGAGAAGCCCCATGGAAATGATCATTTATGCAAATATGTCTTTTGCCTTATGATAGTAAGACACTCACTACGACGTCTTCTTGAAATTGCATGGCGATCCTTCAAATGCTTTCTCAATATAAGAAGAGAAACAATTGCAGATAATGTAACGGCACCAGCAATAGTCCCTAGTATGATGCCAGCCAGAGCACCCTTGCCTAGACCGGACTTTGAAGAGGAGGCAACCACCGTGACATCAAGAAGAGCCGTCAGATCAACAAATCAAAATCAACACACGATTTCACATCTAGAAAAAACAAGGCTTTTGAGACATACCATCCTTGTAAGGATCCAGTAGAATGAAGTCGAGAAGTTCATAGGGTCCAAATAGGTCACTGCGAGGAATTGCCCATGATGCGAACATATTCATGATTTTTTTAACTTCAGTTCTATTGAAAGTATGGGAATTATTGGCATTATCAACATATACAGGAAAAAGCTTCAGAGATATTCTCAGTCGAGGTCCATTTTCCCATACAAATGAAGTAATGTCCAGCTGATCGAGATCTAATTTGATACCAGAAGTAAGATACTGCTCATATGTACTTTCGTAAGGGCGAAAATCTGTGAATGCGGGACTTTTCAACCGAATGTCAACAATTAGAGGAGCAGCACAAAAACAAGCTACAGGAATATATTCGAAAGCGGGTGGACATGCTTGATTCGGACAGTTGGCAGTGGAGTTAGTCGAAATATGACTGTCATTTTCATCATCACTTTCTGTTCCGCAGAAGTTAACAAGGTTGCCATTTGAGCAAACCGGATTTCCCCGAAGCCTGAACAATAATAATCAGAAGAGAAAGTTTAACGGAGTATTTCATTTCAGATGCTGGATATTTGCATAAGAACAACATAACTTGCACTTAGAGATACATTAACATAGATCAAAGTCCAGAAGCAAACCAGACAGTGACATTTTGCGGAAGTACAGTACTGCCGGTAATATTTGTAAGCTTATTGTTCTGCATCTCCCTACAATATCAGAAGCCACACTTCACTAAAATTTCAAGAAGATGCTATAAAACATATTAGTAAAAAGAAAAGGATGACCGGAATAGGAAATGGAATAACATTTCTAAACACCGGCATCCTAACACTAGAGAGTGTAAATTCACACACACAACAGAAGTAACAATTTTTCTCACTCCAGTTCTTACATGATTAGTCTTTCTGTCTTGTTGAGTTTCCGGTTTTGCCAAAGCGTTGCTGGAATGGAGCCGTTCAATGAATTGTTTGCTATAGACCTGCCATGCGGAATAAACTCCCACTTTACTTCATAACATAGTTTTCATTTTTGGCACTGCTACAACATTTGATAACATCTTAAAGAGCAAAACTTCAAACTCTTGCTGTTCACAAAGTAAGATAGATGGAAGCTCGAAAACACCAAAAGATCAGTTTGAAGTGGCTCACAATCTCTGAAGATTAGGAAGATCTGAAAAGTTGCCAGGAATTGTTCCGGTCAGAGTGTTGTTAGATAAATTGCTGCGCACAAAGTTCATACGTCGAATATTATACATCCATGTAATCCTTTTAGAATTGATTATACGATCTTCAAAGCTTAACAATGCTTTTCAGAGAACATTTAACAAGAAACTGCTACTAAATGTCAAATATAATATATATGGCATATCATTTGCAAGGTAGATAGTATCTTACATCGTCGTGATGTTATCAGAAAGTGTACCCTGAGGCAAGGATCCGTTTAGCCGATTTGAGCTTAGGTCTCTGAAAATTGGTATTAATAAATAACAAATTGCATAAGATACTGTCGAAACATAACGTATACTGTATTCTAAGAATTTAG